AAATCTAGTGAAGTTGTTCGTTGTTCAGTTGAGAATGGAACGAATAGATCGAGAATGATTTCGAAAGGTGACGTTAAGATGAAACGAGCGCGTTCGTAGCGAGTTTCTGCGGTGTAGAGACGTTGCGGAAGAAAATGTTGAAGTGGATAAAAGTTCGTCAGGACGCGTCGGTGACGCCGACGCCGCTCAGTCACGAGAAGAAGGACGAGGTGGTGGCAAAGGTCGAAGTTGAAGAAGCGACGAGAGAAGAGGAGGAAGATAGCGGCATGGAAAGGGAGGACACTCCGTCCAACATCGAGTTGAGCGATCTACGAAAAGTATGATCTAACGTCTAATCGATAATTAAATACACTAATTTTTCTATAGATTCTTATCTTAAATTTGAAAAGTCAAATTTCACATCTTAATTTTTCAAAGAGAAAAATATTTCGAAATTTCTGCTTGTTTTTTTATGGTCGTGTCTTGGTCTTGGTTGTTTTATGGTCTTGGGAATAATGTCACGGTGATCTAGGTGTCTTTTTTTTAAATTTTCTTTAAAGCAGCTAATGCGGGTGTCTTTTTTCCCTAAAACGCCGATGACGTCCTTCAAAACGCATTAAGGTTGACGAGATAAGAATTAGTGGCACTGTACGCGAAAGTACTTGAAGCAATACACATGGCCCCTCTTTAAAATGTCGTTAGTGCTCCATTTCTTGTGCTTGTAACACTCGAACAGAGATTCTCCCGTCCTCTGCGATTCTACCTTTCTTTCGTCGAGTTGTGGGATAGCAATTAGACGTCCTTCAGATATAATCCTTAATTGAGAGGTAAGTCTTACATCGATGGGAAAATAATTTTGCTTTCAAAGGAAACTACTGATTTCTACACTTCGTAAGATGCACAGGAACATTATATTTTCAATTTATTTTAAATTTCCTTAAAGCAGAAGTAGTTTCGATTCTCTTTCATTCTCATAGCAATTAAATCTTACATCGATAAAAAAGTAATTTTATCTTCAAAGAAAACTACTGATTTCTGCGCTTCGTAAAATAATTCAAACATGATCTGTTATACAGAGGAGTATTGTATTTTCAGTTTGTTTGAAATTTCGTTGAAGCGAAAATTGTTTCGAAATAGCTGTTGAATAGAAAATAGAAGTTTCATCGAATAACATTAGAGAAACATATCAGTGATCGATTTTCTTCGATCCGATCTACAATCTCTTAGCCAACAGCGATTTTCACATGGTGGCGTGATAAATCTTAGCGCAGGGTCGCTTTCATTCATCGATTTCACTGGCGCAGCAATGTAGTTTCAGCGTGCAGGTTGGTTTTTTCGATACCAGGCTAACCTGCTTCCAACAGGTGCTACATCCTTGTCGAGATGCACGTGGACGTGTACAGGCCAGACTATCGTTGTCTTGTATATTGGCCAGCTTGTAGAGCCGTGCCACATCTGTCACTACCATTACCGCTGTCTTCCACTCGCGGCACTCGATACTCATCGAACGACTTTCATTGAAAAATTTCACCCGACCATTTGCGGTTCTTTCGGTTCGATGATCTCGCGCGCGTCCATTTTTCCTCCAATCTGGTATGATACTTTAGGAGAGAAGGCTTTCTCCACGTTTAACATCGCTCCTTTTTTCTTCTTTATCTTCCTTGTTTCTGGTTTAACGGGATTTCAATTTGTATGATTTCTAATTTATTACCGGATTCTTGTAAATATGTTCCGTTTTTACTGAATTTTACAGTGAAGTATAGATCAATATTTCAAAGAAATTTCTGTTTTTTTTTTTTTTTTTTGTTACTGTTATTATTAAAATATTTTTCAATTTTGGCACGACATCATTTTGTGATTCATACTTAAAGGATGATCATCAAGTAGTCAAAATTTCTCCATAGATCAATGTACTTTCAGAGATTTCGTTCAAATATTCCTCAAAACACTTCGTTCGATTTTAACACCGTCAAATTTCGTTCAAACAAAACCCTATCAAAATTAAAATCCATCATCAATAAATCTCAAAAATGATTCAATTTTCACATTACCCAGGGCACTAAAATTCCAATAGTCTCCGAGACATCCTGCTCCAAAAAAAAGTGTCACTTGCACGCAATGCAACAGGAACTCCCCGCGACGACCCTTACCATTATCAAATATCACGCTGCATACGAAACCATCATCCGATCGATCGATCGAAAGACGATTTACGCTGCACAGCCGCTGCACGGTTGGCGTTGCACAGCTCTCGCAAAGCCGCTTTTTTTTCCCCCCCGCTTCGTTAACATTTTTCTCGCCGTTGCGTCTCGAAATGTTGCGCGCGTTGAGCAACCGACCCGAAGCGATGCGTGTGTGTGTTGCTCACTTTCTATGTGTGACCGCTGATCGTTCGAGGATTAGTTGCGAAACTAACTCGTTTGCCATGCTCTCGCGCCATTTATTCGCGGCATATTTGCACAATCGCGACGGGAGAGAACGCATCTTCGACGTGTACGTGACACATATGCAGAGGAAGGATCGAAACCAAAATTGGCGACCTGTGGTTTTTACGCGCGACGATCCAAGCGGAGAGTTTACAACGATGTGTGTACGAAGGTTTCGAAATCTCTACGGGTTGCTCGTTCCTTCATTCATGCCGCGATGATACACCGATTAGGGAGGGGGGGAGAAACGGAGCGCACGTACTACACACACACGCACACAAGTTCGCGTTAAAAACAGAGGGATTTCGTTCGGGTTGCCGATTCGATTTACATACACCGCATTTGCATACGTTTATGTAACGGGAAATTCAGTGTGCGTGGGCGTTATGAGTTTCCCTTTGCATTTGCCAACCACCACTCTGAGCTCGTTTCGCGAACGAGCAACTCGATGATTCGCTTTCGTTAATTCTGATTTTGGTCATGGTACTCGCGACACGCGCTTCTTCGCGGATCGCTGTTGTTTTCAGTGTACATTGAAACTTGTACGAAGATGGTATTTTCTTTTTGTGGTATAGTGTGATTTCGTGAATTTTTGTAAGGTGACCTGTGAGTGATTCTGATATTCAAGGAAATACAAAATTATTTATCAGGTATCAAGTGATAAAGTTGGTTTATTGTTACTATTTGTTTGAGAGTCGATTAAAACTTGTACGATGATGGTTTTTTTTTTTTTTTTGTGTCAGTGTGATTTCGTGAGCTTCTTTGTGCTATAATTTTTTTATAAAGTGACGTGTGAGTAATCACGTTTAATAACAGGATTGGTATTCAAGGGAATAAAGAATTCTATCAGCAATCAGGTATTTTTATGTCGTATTAAGTTTCTTTATTATTTTTAGTATTGATTTCGATGAATATATTCATGCGATAGGCTAGTGAATACTTTGTGTATTCGAGTGGAACACTTGAGAAGATTCGTATGATAATCGATGTCGTCCCTTCGCCTAATTGAATACAGCTAATTGGCGTTCACACAAATGTGTCGTAGCGTTGCATGAAAATTAGTACGCGTGGAAGGAAGAGAAGTGAGAAGTGTAGCTGTCGCTAAAACGGTGCTACTTTAATATGCAAATCCTGGGGTTCGCGTTCATGAATAATATATGTAATATATAATAATAAATGACTGGAGGAAACCAGTCTTTTATGTAGGCTACCAAAAACCGGGAGAATTTATCTCTTTACCGAGGCTTTTTTTATTCGTAGACAATTTATGTGCATCTCATAAAGAATTTTGTTTTTTCTTTCATTTCGAAGCTCGTAAATAACGTTTTCGACGTTTCCATTCTCGAAAATAATAAATCACGTCTTAACAAATTTTAACAACTTATTAACCTTTTGCGCTGCAAATTTATCATTTCTCAATTTTTTTACATTTTCGATCTCGCGATATTTACAACGCATTCATCGCGGAACAAAGTAACACAGTTGCCTTCGAAGTGTCGTTTTTGCATGAAACCGGCAATTCTACATTGCACACGACTATAATATACTTTTTTTTTTTCAAACAACATTTCACAATGTTGCCTACGTGCATTTATGACATTTATGGGGTAATTGTTACCCAATGCTCCGGGGCAAAAGTTTCATACGATATTACACAATATTCCTCCGTGTCTGCTGGCCGGCAGATTCAAGTGCATCTTCTGCATCGGTAACGAGATACACGTGTCCTACAAACAGAGATATTTACACAGTCTTCGCGACACTCCTCGCTACTGTCCATCGTTCTATTCTGTCCACGATGTGACTGCCTGTTGCCTCAACGCCCTTATTCATCAGAATGTTTTATCGTTTTAACACCGCGTTACCTGAGAATAAGTTACCGGTGGCGAGTAAATATTCGCTCATCATTATACTCATCTTATATTCGAAGGAAGTAAAAATTCACGCGTCGAAAGAAATTCAACGAATTATTTTTGCGACCGTAAATAAAGAACAGGTTGTATTATTTAAACCTTTCGGTACTGAATTTTTATTTTTGAGAATTTCTTTTGAGATTAACTTTTATCCGAGTAGTCATATTTTCTACTAATCACGAAAGGGTTAAAATAATTAATTATTTGACATAATAACAAAAATGTTTCATTAATTATGATAATCGCCGATTTTGATGAAACTTTAGCGAGAAAAAAAGCATTTAACATTGATCTGAACCACTTTGGGCCTTTCACTTGCTATCTTTATTTTCTACAAACCTGTCTATCTTTCGTTAGAGCATTGAAGTGCCTCTTGCCTTGAGCCACTTGAACGAGCAACCACAAAAACCACCGTACACGCGCAATTAGCCGTAAAATAATTTCTTTTCATAGGTACAATAGTAAAATCGTGCTCACACATACGTAACGAACGTCTCGTTAGTTGGTGGCACGTGTAGTACGATAGGGAAAGGCCGTGACGATACAGCAGACATGGTAAAGATGCCATTAATCACTAAACGCGTTAAACAATTCCACGAGTGTGTTTCTCGAAGACAAAAGCTAGCCGCCTCTTAGCTCTAGATCGGCTGGCATTAAATGTTCGTCACCTTGTCTGTTACAGGACCTGTTCTCGCAGCTGCAGTTTTCGCAAGAGAGCGCGCTGCCTCCCGATACGCTGCGTCGCGCTCTGGCCGAGAGCTTTCTCGATCAGCAAAGGTTCCAGCTCGGATTCATGGACGACGCCGCAGAATGTTTCGTAAGTGGCGATTACCTTGTTCTCCTTTAACCCTTTAAGAACGAAGGATTACGTATCGTGTCGAAATATTCGTTTTATTAGCTTCGAACTTACGTATTCCTAAATGACACCGGTTCGTCGTCTAATATCTTAACATCCAACTCATAAAAATTGCACCAAATTTTACCAAGCAACCAAACGACCATAACTAGACTCTCGATATTTGCAGTGAAACTTGTAGAATTCAGAGTTTCAGTGTAGCTTTTGTCTGCAAGTGTTCAATTCTTGTTCGCAAGTCTCATCATCATCAAATTTACATATTCCTAAGTGATTCCAGTTCATTGTCTCGACGTCCAACTCGTAAAAACACCTAACCTAACCAAATTTTACCAAGCAATCGAACGACCACATAACCGGTAGACTATACGTCGTTTCCTATCGCGTTGCTTTCGCCCATTCATAAGAACGATTAGCGATTGCTCGCGACAGTAACTCAGGCAGGAGCGCATTAATCTCTCCGTTTCGACATTCACGTTGGTGTGTCGCGATTTCCTTCGCAGCGTCGATTTTCCAACTTAGTTTACGATCCTGAATATTTCTCCGTGCAAAACCAGTTCTCTCTTTTTCTCTCGCCCCGTGCTTTTAAGCGTGGTGCACAGTGGCGAAGTATATCGTTGGATTGCCGCGTCTAACGACGTGTGCTCGTAGGTGAACCTAAGCAAATACAAACCGGCAAGAGTCCACTTTCTCGTTTACACCAGAGTCACGTTTGCCGTTGTACGCGTGTGTGTCGACATCGGTTCGCTGAATAAAATGAATACCACGTTACGAATACTAGTCGTGAGCATAGTATAATTGTAAGGACGCCGGTGATCATGCTCTCTGTCCTGCTATCTTGGAGCATTCTAGAGCACTTTGCTTGGGATTACGCTTACGTTGTTCAAGAGAGCATTCGAGTTTAAACCGTTGTTTTTTCAGAGGATTTCGTGACTTCTTTTCTGGGAGATGAAAAAAGTTACAATTGTGGAAATTTTGGTTTTTTGAGAAAATCACGTTGGAAGATCTTAGATCTGCGTTAGGTGTGATCTTGAGTCGTTCAAACTTTCATAGCTCTTACAATTTATCGAATTTTGAAAAATTGTTCGATAAGCAGATTCTCCAGACTGTAAGGAATGCAAAAATGCAGGAAAGCAGCGATTTTTTGATCTGGGGAACCTAAATACCTCCTTAAGGGAAATTAGGGATTCAGAGTCGCGATAGTGAAGATTTAGCATAATTAGCCTTGGAATATTCTCGCTGTTCAATCTTAATCCTTCCTAGGATTAAAAGGGGGTTGGTTTATCGTGGTAGTCTGAGTTGGGTACCTCTGAACGATGCTTAGTATAGTAAACGTGTAACGAGAGTATTGTTGCGCGTACGAAATAGCAGCGTAGCGAACCGTGGACAGTCAATTTGTCATTGAGAGATTGAAGTATTGCATAGCAAGCGTGTTCGAGAATGAAACGATCGTCGAGCATGAGTTTCTTTCGTTATTATGATTAAATAATCGATCGGCTATAAATTGTAACATTGTGCCACGATTATTTTGCAAAAACTCCAAATTCTGATTTATCTGTGGCAAATTTGTCTACGGCTTTTCACTTAGAATAAGTAATTCTTTGCGATTAACTTTTCACAGCTAAGTTAAAATTACGTTTTCGTTTGAATAGAAAGTGTGTGAATGCGTTGTAAGTGGGCTAAGAGGGGAGTTGTAAATTTGAACATTAAACACAGAAGTCGCTGCAGTTTTCAGATGTACGACATGACAGAAATGTTGTAAAATCGGGACTCAGGATTTGATTTAGAACCGTACGAAGAGTTTCGGTCGTGATGTCTTTCCCATTACTTATATTGCTGGATACATTTTTAAAGTTCCAATAGGGGAACCGTATACTTATGTCTGAAAATTCGCTGCTGTTTGACACTCGACCAAATTTACGACTCGCTTTATGCTTCTTCCAGGAACAGTTCTTGAAAGGATGACAGAAAAAGAATATCGTAATATATAGCAATTTATGTGGTCGCTTTGTTGGCTTGCATTTTGTTGCTTTAAACTTAGGCCACTATTTTTCGCCTCGAGATATTTACACTGAAATCTGTTTGAGCAGCCACATTCGTCCTGCAGAAATACAAATTTCAATTAGTAACACCACTCTTCTATCTTTAATCTCTTCCGAGATATTGGACTAAATGCGTTTACTACCCCCAACTTTCAGGCCCATTTTCATCCCTTCACGGTGAACAATTGCAAATTTAAAAAAATACGTGTCGAATATTTTTTCGAGATCTGTCACACATCAAAATTGGTCATTTTGGACACAAATTTCGAGGTGTTTCTTTGTTAAACCACCGTCTTAAGGTACAGTTAATCAGTATTCCATTTAATTCTTTAAACGCGATAACTCGTAATGTTGAAAAAGGTGCAACGATTGAAACGTGTCGCAAAAAGCGTGTATCCTGCTGCTTATCCTTCGAAATTACAGTAATCGATGACCAATTACCAAGGACTCGTTTATTTCTAGCGGTGCTTCATCGAGGATGCTGTAATAAGGAGAGACACATTAACGGCATGTTGTTACAGGAAAACATTCTTCTGCGTATACATCTTCACATCGCCAGCGGGGAGGCGGAAGACATGTGCAGCGCAAAACACTGTGTGCCACACCAGAAGTTCGCCATGACGCTGGTCGAGCAAAGCGTTTGCGGGGCTTGCGGTGCCACCTCAGAGCCTCTGCCTTTTACACAGGTCAGTTCAATCCACGAAACTTCTCTAGAAGAGAACTGCAATCGATATTGCTAATCTGGTAATCGAGTGAATAACAAGTGAGCTTCGAAAGCAACCACTGAACTTCGACAGAGTTTTATTTTAACCTTCGAACGGCGATTGCTAGATCACCCAGCTGTTAGATTTCTTGTGTTTCACAGAATCACGACTCTTCTTTCTTCGTGTTTAAGTATTATCTTAATCGTAATATATTTATTTAATTTTTGAACAATATAATAGCGACTTCGTTTGCGTACGAAGAAAATTACAGTATTGGGTCTTATTTGACCCGGTAGTAGTTTAATAGTTTCTCCAAATAACCTCATGAAACGTCGCAACCGTTAGACTTAACACTCTTTAATCTCCTCAATAGTGAAATCATCGAGTGACCGCAATTTTCTCCAACCCCACGTCATTCTGAACCATTATCATCCACTTCGTCTCTGAGATTCCATCTTATTTCAGAATCATCTAGCATGTACCAGCAATTCTCTCATATGCATATCCAATACAGAATCTCTCGTGATAGCGTGCGGCTCGCGGAAAACGTGTTTCTTACGAAACGTTCCATTACGATTCAAGGATAGAACAGAGAATAGTTTCCCTTTCCTCTTTCTCTTCAACTATCTTAACCATCTGTCCACGCGATTTTTCCTCGCCGTTTATTTTCTCACGTTCTTCACGCAAGGTGAACCCCGGAGAAAACGGTCCAGGAACGAGAAAAAAGAGAAACTGTCAGGTAGAATTTTTCTTTCGTTGTTTGCCAAAACCTTCTCGGACCTTCCAGCTCGAAGGTAAGAAACGTGGAAGATTAAACGGAAGATTGCCCCTTCGGTCCGGTTTAAGCGATTTTAAGCGACTTAGCTGAGAAACCTAAACGCGCCAAGATACTGAACGGTCGAGCCGCGACGTGTAAACGGATTAGCTGATCGGGATTTGATGGCTCATTGGTCACGAGCGACCAACAGGAACGGCGAAAGGAGGATATTGAGGGGCGAACGATCAGACCAAGGGATACTATTTCGCGCAGTAAACTCGGGATCCGGTCGAAGGGGCGCAGGAAGCCGACTTCGAATTGGTAATGGGCTCTTGGTTCAGTCGAGGGGATTGTAATTGCCAGGAAACGAGGATCCGCGTAGATTCTTAGTTGTACGAGCTGAGTGGATTTGATTTAATTACCATTTTTCGGGGGTGAACGAAGGAATGAATTCTTAATTTTTTTCTTATTAGCTTTGGGAGAGAGGTTGTTCCTCTCTTCGACAAAATTCGAGACTTGTTTAAAAGGAATAATTAAAATAAGCTTGTTCATTGAGATATTCTCCAAAGTTAAGAAAAAAAAAGAAGGAAGAGGAAGATATTTTAGTTTGAAGCGAATTCTTCTCTACATCGAACTGAGAAAATTCAATTTTTGCTACTGTTCTCTAATTTAGCTCTAATTGATTAATATTATTGATTGATTTGTAGGCTGAATTCAATGTAGAATCTATTATTACCATAATTACCGTTCCATGCAACTGTCTTCCACTAAATTGGCCATTAATTCGTCTGTATACTTCCTAGTCGAATAATACAATAGTTAATTAAACGCGCGTACTTTTATTGTTCGGCATACGAGAACAGCTGTTGCATTATCGAAACAAATTTGACTAAATTACGCGAGCGAGGCGAAGGTTTTCCTTGCAAAAAGAAAACCACAAAATTGCATCGAACCTATCAGCAGAAACCACTCCCTCGTTGCCTCGAATCATCTGTCGTGGTTCTCTGAGTCATCCCTGGGGAATTTCATCCAGTCTCACGAGTCGATTCCAGCCCTCTTTCTTACAGTCAGCTAAACTCTCGCGGGTTAATTCAACGAAAACCGGCTCGATACGGGGATACTCGTTGCTTCCGTTTTGTCGCTCTTTAATTACTCGTTACGACACCAGAAATCGGTGAAAAAAGCGAGGAGGAAAAATCGTGGAGGGTGTTTTTCGAGGAACTTATTACAGCTTTCCTTCGTAAACAGGGCCGCCCCATCGTTCGACAAGCTTGGTTATTTCCGGTTTGGCGAGGAAAGTGAAACTCTCAATTAAATTCCCCTCTTCGTTTTCTGTTATTCGAGTTTTACGCCGGGATAGTTTGCGATTTTTGCCCGAATCGAAAGGTGTTTTGATTGAATACGATCTGTCTCGTGGTGTTCATTAGAGTAGAAAGGTATTTGCAGACATTATTTCTGCCGAGACAGAGCGGGATATAGAGCGAAACAATGATGTGTGTTAATTATTTAGGTGTGATATTTAATTTTTTATTTTCTGAAGCGAAATTTTCTTTTACCGTGAAATTTCAAAAAAAAATTCTTTAAACATATTTTAAGCTTCTCCTCTCTGAAGGAGTGCTTATTTCTTAATAATAATGGAACTTTTCTTTCATATTCTTTCTTTAAAATTAATTCCTCTGTACTGTGATTCAAAGTATATTATTATTACATGAATTCTTTGTAAAAATATCTAATGCAGTAACGAAGAACTTCGGAAAAGTTGGTTATCGCGAAGATGAATATATATATATCTCACGGTGTATGGAAGTGTTAATTAAATTTCTAGTTAGCAACGTGGAATTACTTGTGGCAAAGTTTCGATAAGGAAAGAAGGCTAGCCGCAGAGCTCTGAACAAATGCAATAACGAAAGTCGTATTTCGCCCACGCTGCCTCATAATTACTCTTTTTTTCTATGATAAAATATATATAATTTTCTGGGAAGTTCGCACCTCGTTGTTGTGCTTTAATCGGTCACCACTTTTGTTTTCCCTTTCATGAAACCCAGCCGAGCGGTGAAATTTTTTAATCTCTTTCCGTTTCGTCGACACTGAACGAATTCCAACTCGTAAGAATTACAGTGGAACTTACAGGAACGGTAATAATATTTTTACATCGCTGCTGGTTCCTTATTACGACATTTTTAAGACTTCAATTTTGCAGTCAATGGATTTAGCAGGAACTCTCGATTTGTAACACTACATTTGTCACTTGCATGTATTTATTTTTTGCGCAAACTTAATCATTTCTTTCAGAATTTCAAAATCTAATTTTCTCAGAGCAAAAATATAATTAAATATAATTAATCCATATGAAGTCAAATTAAAAATTAAATATTTAGACTGATTCAGAGGTCGAGATCCTCATACTTTCAGAATTTTATCGTTGGAAGTGTTCAATAGTTAAATTGTAATTTTTTCAGGACGAAAGTATAATTGAACATAATTAAATTAGAAATTAAATACTTGGACTCGTTCAGGGTCGAAATCAAGCACACGATATATCGGCACAAAGCAGAATACAACGGTTTCCCAACCTAATGTCCAAGTTAAGAAGAAAAGTGGACGTTTCCTAATGCAGGCGGGAACAAAAGCGGTGCCCTTTCGAGCGCATTCATAGCACGGTGTGCGCGCATAATCGAGCTCAGAACCCGAACAGCTCACGTGGGTGGAGTTTGTTCTCTCTCCCTTCGTGCATTCGTATCGTATCGACTGTTGTCGGCCGACTGTAAAAACGCGGAACTCGTTGCAATCTCGTATCGGTCATGGCCGATCGCTTTTACCAGCTGGCTTACTACGCAGAGTCGAAGAAACATTGTGCGTTTGTACAGCAGAAGGGAGAGCATACGTTAGAAAATCTTTGCTTCGTAAAAGATTCACTTCAAGTTCATATTTTTCTCTAAAGTACATTTGCTTAAATTCGAATTTTATTAAATTTCGTATCATAGATATGAAAAATACTGTGGATTAAATCACAGGTAATAATGATTGTTTCATATTTTCCTCAACTGTACTTATTTTAATTTTCAAACAAATTTCAGAAAAGACTTTAATATCATTTACTGACAAAAAATAAAAATTATTATTTTTAAAAATGTGTTATACCAATAGATACTCAAAACACAATATTCGTTTCAACATTTCATTGGTATATATAAATCATCTTCCTGAGCAATAATTCAGATCACCTGAAAATTTGACTTTCCCATGTTTGAAACGTGGTTTGGGACCCTTCAATAATCCCCACAAATTTTCATGGATAAATCAATGAAAAATTAATCACTAGAACATTTAAAGAACGTTCCCAATTCTCATTTCAGATGGTCCATTACGTGTCAGCATCAGCATTGACGTCGCAAGCTCGACAAACGCCGCCAAATTCTCGAAACAGCCCGGATCTGTTCGGTCAGCTTCTTCGAAAGGCTGGAGGCATGGGTGACATCAGAGATTGTCCTGTAAGTGGCATTAATTTTCACCGATAAAGTAAAACCTGCTCGACGCAGAATTCTTTAAATTTCACGGAATATTTCATCGTGCACGACGACTCATGACTTTGCACCTTAAACCAGTTCCGGTGACTCGCGTTCGATTCATCCGGTTGGCAAGGCAAGATCACGAGAGTACACGCGCACTCTCCACTTGGCCTTTCTTGGAAATAATATCTCGCGGACTTTCTCTTTGAAGTGGAACGATAACTATCGTTTCGTGAGCCGCGGGCGAACAATCATGGTGGATAAAATTTCGCGTTGCGAATTCGACCAAGAAAACTTCCCAAATTTCCACCAATTTTATCCGCCACAGACACGATTGTCGATCACGTTTCGATAATTGCTCAGTGATAAGGTTGATCGGAACGATAGCAATTCCTTTAATTCCTCTTGAATAGAAACACTTTACCTTGTACCTAGTTTGCGAGGGAAATCGAGTGTTCTAAATTGAATTACGATATTATGACGTGTTACGTTAAATGATACTGTAGAATTTGGACATGCATCACTTCCGGTAACGAAATCCTGTCTTGTCGATAGAATGAAGATTCGTGAAATGTTTGTGTTAATATTATTCGAACGAATTTTCGGTTTACAGAGCTCCTGTGGGGCGAAAATCCAAATCTGTCGGACCCTGATGAACCGACCGGAAATCGTTTCCGTCGGAGTCGTGTGGGATAGCGAACGGCCGTCGTTGGAGCATATCATGGACGTTTTTGCAACCGTGGGAACGTCCCTCAGATTGAGCGATGTTTTCCACAGCGTGGTGGACTCCCGATGGGGTGCCTCGACCGTGCACAATCTCGTAGGAGTCGTCACGTATTACGGCAAACACTACTCCACCTTCTTCTTTCACACTAAACTCAAGGTTAGCGCAGACAATGTCATTTACATTTTTTAATTGTTCCAGTAAACGTGGTATATCAATTTTCCTCTTTTTAATTACGAATTAACACGTACACTTTAGTACTGAATAACAGTTATTTGCGAACGTACACGTTGAAATAAATCTTTCGTGAGATAATCCTTAGAGAAATGCTCGAATCACGGATAAATCTTGATTAAACCGATCAGATGTAATTGTAATCCGTAGAATTCGATGGAAACTGCTTAGATTCGATATTAGACAAGTAGTTTCACACGTTACTTCAAATGATTCTATTTCGTATATTGAGCGGTAAGGATTGTTTACCAGGCGTTCAATTTGTAATTAATGTATCTTGATTTATATCAAATCCTCTTTGTCTCTTTAACCCTTTCGTTACGGTTGTTACACTTTGCCGCGTGTCGTATTATGCAAATTCATTTTTATAGGTCTTTATTCAAGTTGTTCCATGTTGATATATAATTAATCATAAAGAAATGCACGTCAGAGTAATAAAATTGAAAATATCGTGTAATAATACAGTTTTATCGGTGTTGAATGACTATAATCACCTTTAGGACATAGTAAACGCTCGATATTGGGTGACTAGTCACCCTTAGTAACGAAAGGATTAATTCCTTAATCCTATCAGCTCTCTTAATTCTCGAAATCTTAGATCTCTCACTGTCTCCTTCTGTTCTACGTAGGTGTGGATTTATTTCGACGATGCTACGGTGAAGGAAATCGGTCCACGTTGGGAGCAGGTGGTAGAGAAATGCAGAAGGGGAAGATATCAGCCGTTGCTTCTCTTGTATGCAACTCCTGGCGGAACTCCAGTGAACACAGAGAATGCCCCGAAGACCGTGACGCCTTTTCCAAACGGAAATGGACTGAAGACACCCCCGAAGAATAATGTTCGACGATCGATCACTCCTAGCCCGGAGAAACCATCGATCAACAGTACCGCAAGACGTGCCATCACGCCGAATCCCGACAGTCCTCCGCACCCTTACACACAACGAAGGATTTATAGCGATTATCAGAATCTCACTGACATTCAGAACAACATCTTTGGCAATCAGGTACGTTTTCGATTGACGGTTATTCGTTTTAATTATTAAGCAGTGAGTTTTACTTGAAAGATACTCGGTGAACGTGTTTTCATACCAAACGGGGTGGTTAAAATTGTTCTTATAATTATTTAGTTGATTTAATTGCAAATTTATCACGTGGAAATTGATCTCGGCAAAATTTGAACGCGAAAAGAGTCAAAGATTTTCACTGTCTCTTGAAGGGTGTTGATACGGTCGATGGTGAAGCAGAGTCGAAATATATCAGTCGACGTGCTGTTGAGAACGTGATGCAACAGCAGAAGAAGCAACAAATGCAGTTGACACGCAGTCTGAGTGCAGGATCGACGCCACAGGACGCCATCAGTATTCCGGATCACTTGAACGTGCCACGAAGGCGTGATTCCGGAAACTGGTCCGGAGATCGAAACAGCGCGTCCTCAAGTTCCTCGACGACAATGGATAACCCGTATTTGTACATTGTCAATAAAATGCAGAGGAACTCGGGAGTGCCTAAGAGTCCGACCAGTAAATCTGGAGAACTCTCGAGCAGTAGCAGTGGCCATTACGATGCCGGATACGACTCGTATTCTTTGTCTTCCACGGATAGCCTTCCACTACAACAGGGCCTGAAGCATAACCTGCAGGTTTGTATTGTGTTTTGTAAAATATGTTATAACATAGAACTAATCGTGACTGTATTAATGCAGAATTAATGAGAGTAAAGATATTGATACAAGAGAATTTATTAATAATAAATAAATTTTGCTTTTGCACTTTATTTAATTGTGAATCACAATGAATTCATTGATTCGAAGAATTTAGTGAAATTTTCATTTTTTTAAATTGTCGCGTACAATTGATGGCGCACAGAACACAGAACGTGTTAAAGATTTCCCCATTTTCTTCTTGGAAGTGTTTATTAATAAAAAAATAAGAATTAATATTTTTGAGTAGTCGAAATGAGCAAGAATCAGTTGTAATATTATTATACAGAAAGGGGTATTTAGGAGTTAAATCGATTTACTTAACATAGCTTGCCCAGATCCCGGAAGGCTACCAAGCTTCCTCAGGAGATGACTGCGAGCGCCTCTGCAAAGAAACCGACGCGTTGCTGGACAAATCTCGAGCAGCTGAGGATGCAGGCGATCTCAGCACTGCGGTTGCTTTGTGCAGCGCAGCGAGCAGCAAAGCTAGAGCCGCCATGGATGCTCCGTACAACAATCCTCATACGATCACGATAGCAAGGATGAAACACAACACTTGCGTGATGAGGACCAGGAGTCTGCATAGAAGAATGCTTCAGGAACAAGCAACGGCGAATGGAGAAAAAGAAGGTTGGTTATCTGAAAAATGATTAAAATACCAAATACACTACCAGCGTCAACTTTATCTATATAATTCATATTTAAAACGTGTATGTATATTTGTGATTTCAGAATGTGCACCGGAAGGAAGGCATTCGCGAGAGAACAGCAAGTCTGGACAGCACTCGAGACAGAATTCCAGGGACAAAGGAAACCACTCCAGACAGAACAGTCGCGAACTCTTGGTAAACGCTCCAACAACAACCAACGACAAACCAGTTACGAAGAGCATCGAGATCTACGCGACGTTACCCAAGAAGAAGACGCTACGCAGCAAAGCAACAGCAGTGAACGTGATCGAGGACGAAGAGTATATGTTGTACGACCGACCGATGCAGAGGACAGGTTTATTCAGTCGTACGAAACGCTGCGACGACGACAAGAAGGACAAGAAACGTGCTCGAAGCGAGGAGAGGAACAAGAACGTCTCGAAAGACTTTTCCATCGCTCCGTCTCGATCCTCTCCCTCGCCGAAGGGAATTAAAGTAGAGAAATCGAAGGAAAATGTCGACACAGTTACCAACAACGCTCGAAACTCTCAGCCCGGCAATGCCAATGGCGAGCAGAAACAGGGCAAGAAGCAGCATAAGATTCGCCGGAAACTGTTGATGGGCGGGCTGATCAAGAGGAAGAACAGAAGTATGCCGGATCTGCGCGAAGGCCAGGACGGACAGGCGAACGTCAATGTGGAGGGATCCTCCAACACCTTGCCGAAGCAATCAGTGGACGATTCCAGTGTCGGTCTGAAAGGCAACGAGGTGAGCCAGTCTCTGAGCGGTTATCTTTCAGAGGGACACCTGGAGTTCACCGGGAACGGTAACAGCAACCCGGGAAGTACGAGCAACCCGAATCTGGAGAGAAGTCGTCTGATGAGAAAGAGCTTCCACGGCAGCGCAGGCAAAGTGTTACACGTAGCGAAGGTACCCCCGCCTCCTCCGCTCAGGACCACTTCTCAGCTTAGCAAGTCTAAGTGTTCGGGTGAAGTGCACAACGAGCAGCAGTCGGAGAAATCGGTTTATCCGTCGTCGGACAGCCAGTGTGCGTCGAATCCGTCTCAAGAGCAGAACGGGACCTACTGGAACCATGTGAACGCGACGAATTCGTCCGGTGGGGCTAACAGGACGTCTAACTACACCGATTACTCATCTGAGTCCCATTCCCTTCCGTTCTTACCTTCCTACGGCATGGAACAGAATCCTGCTAACGTGTCCACGTCTTGTTCCACGAATTACAACAACAAACCTAGGATTCAAGATGACGTGGTGCAGTACGCTAATGGGATTCTATACGAACCTACTTTTGTGGTTACTCGAGCAGACGTGCACAACGAACAGAGTCCCGTGAAGCAACCGAATCAGTTGGACTCCTTGCCTCCGTATCCAGAAAGTGGGAACGTTTCTCACTCGAGACAGCCCAGTGAAGATTTTCCTCCTCCACCGTATCCTTCTATCCACTCTGTCTCCCATTCGAGGCAAGCCAGCGAAGACTTTCCACCTCCGCCACCTCCGATCGACGAAACCTCTAATCATATTCAGGAGAGTCAACAACAGTACCAGCAGCAACAGTATCAACAGCTTCAGCAGCAGCTGCAACATCAGCAACAGCAGGCGATGGTACCGATGCAGCAGCGTCAACAACAGTTGGACAGTCAACACATCAACAGTCTGTTGACGCAGCTGCAAATGAAGAGGGATCAGATTTTGGCCTCCGAAGTTTCGAGAGAGGAGAAGAGGCCCGAAGAACAGGAGGAAGAAGAGAAAACGTCTGGAGAGACTTGGTTACGCGAGTTGCAAGCCAAACAGGCGGAAAGGAGGATGAAGAAACAGGGTCCTCTTGATCAGGATATTCCAAAAGTTAGGACGTCTGTTCCAACGATTTCTGGGCCAACGATCGCAAGAAGAACGAGCGATTTGATGATGAACAGTCTTGGGCAAAGCTACGATCAGCCCAGTCGCGATGTGCCTGATTGTCCACGAGTTGTTTCTTCTGTGAAAGACATGGCAGCCAGATTCGAGCAAATTAAGCTTCAACCTGTTCCGAAAACGGAACCTGAACAGAAGATGTCGACGAAGCAGAGTATGAACTGCGGTTCTTCTTCTCCGATGTTCGACGCTCCTCAGGATGTTCAGCAGATGGACGAGTCGAGGCCGATGAAACTTTCCACGGAAAATTTAGCGAACTTCACGAAAACCGACGGTTCTTCGAATCAGTCGATCATGAATTCCAGCTTCGAATCCAGTTCGAGTCAGAACAGTTTCATTTCAACCACGGCGCCGAGTAATTCCATACAAACCCAGCAAAGTGGGTTGAACCAGGCGATCATGTCGATGTCACTGACACTGCCACACGAGAATGGTTTGCCTATCGACTATCCCGAAGACGATATCAGCGAGGTCGCCATGCAGAATACTATTCAGAACACGAAAATTCTACCCAGCGAAGAAGACATCGCGCCGAGAAAAGTGAAGCGACGAATTGGAAAGAAAAAGAGTGTGTCGTTCTGTGACCAAGTCGTTCTCGTGGCGACAGCAGAGGACGACGAGAAAGACTCTTACATACCTAATCCCATTCTCGAGAGGGTTCTTCGTTCAGCGATGAATAAACCAGAGACAGCTCAAGTTCTTCGAGAGATCAGGAGTCTTCAGGAGGCAGAGATGAATCGAGAAAACTGCAACGCCACCAAGTTCCAACAGCAGACTCTGCCGTTGAAGAGCGAAGCTGACAGTGTCCCTGCGACTCCTTACCAAGATCAGCTGAGAAGCGTGAACCCTATACCCATTCCAGACACCATCAAACCTACCTTTGGAAGGCAGAATTCGAACGAATCGGTGGGTTCCTTATCAGACAAGAAGCTATGCGGCTCGTATGGCAACGAAGGACAGGATGTCGTCAGAGACAGTTACACAGGACTGTCGAATGTGTCCAAACCACCTACGTCATACTCTCCTCAGCTTCAGCAACAAATAAGATATTCTCAAAATGGATACATGCCATACTTGCAGTCGCAATCAGCATATCCCCAAGCGCAAACATCTCATCCGAGGAACCAAGGAATCCCACTCTCTCAAACTCAGAAACCAGCCAGTCCTTATCCAACTCAAATGCACGGACAATACGTCCAGAACAATGTTCAGCAACAAAAGCCAATGTGCCAGAAGAACACCTATCAGACCTACTATCAACTGGAGCAACAGCACAATCAGATGAACAAGCATATGTCCCAGCAACAACAGCCAAACATGAACCAGAGGATTTCGAACCACAATGCAAGCCCTATAACGGTGCAGCATGCTCAGCAGCAATTCGCCTATCCGCCAACTCAATCACCCAGCCCCTATCAGAATCAGTACAGCCACAGTTCCTATCAGGGTTACCCTTATCAATCTGTTCCTCAGCAGAACAGAATAAACCAGCCACTGCCGCAGTATCAACCACCGCCTAATCCTCCAACCTCTTATCAGCAACAGCAGAACATGCAAAATTATCAGCAAAGACACGACAACTATCAGAGGCCACCTCAAAAGGCTGATCAGCAAAATATTTTGGCACCGAATCAGACGTACCCGAATCCACTGCAAAACGGGCAGATTCAGTCGAACATGAAGTATCCGACTTATCAGCATCCACCTGTGTCGAAACAGAGCAAGCAGATCCATTTCGTTTCTGCGTCGAAGGGGAATCCCACGGTGACTCAGCCTACGTCCTCTTTGCAGAAACCTGCTGTTGGAGGCACAACTAGAACGGCGCCTTGCCATCTCTGCCGAAAAAAGCAGGTGACTGAACCAGCGATTTACTGTTCGGACTGTGACTTCTACATGTCCCGTTTCCGACCGAAAAATTGAGGTTGTTTTCTCTGGCGTACGAGTAATCGGGACTTTTGTTCGCCGAGGTAATTTTTCGTAGGAGTTGTCTATAGACGGAGTATGTTCGTATCGAGACGATGAAGTGACTCGCATCGGTTAGAAACAGTGACGTCTGCGATAAGCTTCTTCTGTTACGTATCTAACAGTGATATGTAGAAAAAGGGGTGAATTGGACAGCATTGATGTAGGAAGAGCTTCTCCAAATATACGAAGGTTTGAACAGAACTTTTCTTTTCTCGTCGATTCTTCTCGTTTCGTGAGAGAACCGTTCAAGATTGTTATCGTTAGAAGTAACGTAATGTTTTTTTTTTTTTTTAATTATAGACGAATTCACGATTCGTTTTCACGAATGGGAGAACGATGAACCCGTTCGCGTTTTGTACAAAGTTAAGTTTAGGTGTAGATTTGTATATCGTTGAAGACCTTCGTCGTGCAGCTACTAATTAGATGTATTCGTTGTACCATTTATCGTGCGTACTTAGCGACGTTTGTAATTTATAGTGAATCATGTAGAGAAGAAATGGTACCCAACGTAGGTGTATATCAGACGCGTTTTTTCTTCTTTTTTTTTTTATATAGAAACAGCATCTTTGTTGTCTCGTGCTTTGTACGTTTAGAGTATAAAGGTAGCAATGTAAGTTTCTTCTTTTCTTCTTTTTTTCTTTTTTTAGTTTTAATCCTTGTATTATTTACGTGCCTCGTCTGATTCTGTTGTATATAGATCGTTTCTACGTAGTATTTAAGTTTTCTGTATAAAAAAACGAAACACAATCCTTGTAACTTCTTTAGCTTTAGGTTTCTTCTTTTTTTCTTCTTCTTTTTGCGAGAAAGCGTTTCCGTTTCACACACGTGACAGATTTTTTAATAAAAACACCGCGATTAAGTACTTCGTTCGAGAGACAATTTGTCAGAATTGTGATACTAGCCATGCTACATAGAGTCTTATCATTAAACGTAGAGAAACTGTATCGAGGGAATCGCGCATATTAGACACGGTACAGATAGTCGCACAAAAAGCGTGAGGAAATAGAGGAAACGTGGAGGGAACATGATCTCTGATGAAAGCGTGAAGTTTTATATTTTATGTTGATAGGCGTTGATGTTATATATATATGTATTATTATTGTGTACTTAACGGTTACGTTCTATTGTACGATTGTCTACGTGCTAGATCGATGTACAAATCACCCCCAATCCCCCGATTTTATACATTTTGTATGAGTATTTTGTTTTAAAAATACTTGATTTCCTCCCCCGTATGACATTGAATAAAGCGC